ACTTCTGGGTATTTATCTGAAGAAAACTAAACTGCTGTCTCAAAAAGATAGATGCACCCCATGTTCATTGCAACATTACTTATATCCCAAGACATGGAAACAACCTAAGTGTCCAAGTACAAAGGGATAGAGAGGGTGTGGCACAGCCTGGTCAGTAGCTCGGTTGGCTGGAGCATTGTCTCTATGTGACAAGGTTGTGGGTTTGATCCAGGTTCTAGCATGAATAGGAATCAACCAATGAATGTATGAATAAGTGGAACAACAAATCCATGTTTCTCTCTCCCTTTCTCTAAAATCAATTAAAAAAAAAAAAAAGAGAGAGAGAGCCAGGCTAGTGTTGCTCAGTGGTTGGGTGTCAAACTACAAACCAGGAGATTAAGATTCAATTCTCAGTCAGGGCACATGACCAAGTGCAGGAAGCAGCCAATCAGTGACATCATTGATGTTTCTCCCTTTCCATTCTTCTCTGAAATCAACAAACACATTTTTGAAAAAAAGAAAAGATGTGGTACATATATACAATGGAATATTATTCAGTCATAAAAAGAAGGGAATTCTGTCATTTGCAACAATATGAATTAATCTTGAGAGCATTATGCTAAGTGAAATAAGTCAGAGAAAGACAAATCCATATGATCTGCTTATATGTAGAATCTAAAAAAATGAAGAAACACAAACCCATACAGATAACTAGAGGTGGGGATGGGGTGGCTGGGGTGGAGATAGTCGGTGAAAAGTGCTCAAAAAGTACAAATGACCAAACTTGCAATTATAAGATAAGAAAGTCCTGAGATACAATGTACACCATGGTGATGATAGTTTACAGTACAGTATTTATATTTGAAGTTTGCTAAGAGAGTAGATCTTAAAAGTTCTCATTACAAGAAGCCAGTGGGAGGTGAGCAGGGCCTCTCAGAAATCCGTCAGCATGCCCCTGTGTGTGAGGAAGAGGGGTCTTAGCATGTGATGGGGGTAGGTGTCTTGGGAGAAGAGCAGGCTCAGCTGCCTCTGGAATCACGGATTCTAAGATCTCTGTGTCTCTGCAGCTTTCCACATTTTAAAATATATTTTATTGATTTTTACACAGAGAGGAATTGAGAGGGATAGAGAGTTAGAAACGATGAGAGAGATACATCGACCAGCTGCCTCTTGCACACCCCCCACTGGGGATTTGCCTGTAACCAAGGTATGTGCCCTTGACCGGAATTGAATCCGGGACCTTTCAGTCCCCAGGCCAACGCTCTATCCTTTGAGCCAAACCGGTTTCGGCAACTTTCCACATTTTAGTGCCACAGGGACAACTCCCCTGGGGCAGCGATCTTCACAGGTAACTGAGTGCATATAGCGGAATTTATTATTTTTTAGATTTGTAATTAAGCCCAACCATTGTTGCTCAGTGGTTAAGTGACTACTATGAACCACCAGGTCAAGGTTCGATCCCCTGTACAGGTTGCAGGCTTGATCCCCAGTGGGGAGCATGCAGGAGGTAGCCAATCAATGATTCTCTCTCATCACTGATGTTTCTGTCTCTCTTTCCCTTGCCCATTCTCTCTGAAATAATAAATATTTTTAAAAGATTTTTGATGTTTATAAAGAGAGGAAGGGAGATGATCCTATAAGATGCCTGAGTTCTCTGTGTCTTCAAATTTCAAGTGTGGTCAGGTGTTTTCCCTCTGCAGCTCTCAGCATGAGCTAGCTAAATTTGTGCCTGCCACACCTTTCTCTGTCCCTTGTAAGACTGACCTTGATCATTTTAACTTGCATTTTTATTTATTTATTTTTTTTTTCACTGGAAAATAATTTTTATTGAGAGCCCACCAGCGGCACAATCTGCTCCTGACATTAGGCTCCTTCTTCCTTTGTGGTCCCATGAACGCTTTCTTCTCCTCCACGGTCTGGAGGCGGCCGTGGCCGAACTTGGAGGTGATGTCAATAAACTTAAGGTCAATCTTCTCCAGGGCCCGCCGTTTGTTCTGCACCAGCAGGGACTTGCAGAGGGTGAGCACTTGCTTCTTGGTTCCCACCACACAGCCTTTCAGCATGACGAAGTCATTGGTCACTTCACCGTAGTGGACGAAGCCACCCAGAGGGTCGATGCTCTTGTCAGACAGGGCGTAGTCGGAGGCGGCGCTGTTGTTGATGAGCTTGCCGTCCTTGATGAGGTAGCCCTGGCCAATGTTGTAGATCTTCTTGTTGATCTCACTGCGGTGATGGTAGCCTTTCTGCCCAGCCCAGGCCACAGAGAAAGGGCAGGATGCCACGCCCCGATACAGGCAACCTTCCACAGCCCTCTGTGGGTCTTGCGTGGCAGCTTCTTGGTGTGCCAGCGGCTAGTTGTAGCCTTTGCCCTTGGTCACTCCGATGACATCAACCATCTCATCCTGTCCAAAACAGGGACCTGCTGCTCCAGCCTCGCCCGGGCCCAGTCCAGCTTCTCGGCCACCGTGCCTCCGTTCACCTGGATCTCCATGAGGTGGGCCTTCTTCTGGCGCAGAGGAAGCAGGTGCATCTGGGTGTGGGCGATGACGCGGACGACCTGGCAGTACTTCTTCATGCTGTTGAAGTCCTCCTCCAGCTGCTTCTTGCCATCGTTGTCTTGCCACTTCTTGGAGTACTTGGTGAAGGCCTACTTCTTGGACTTATGCCAGTTCTTATAAAAGCGCCTTTTGCACTCGTCGCTGATGTGCTCGGCAAAGATGGTTTTGAAGGTGCGGAGGCCCCGGGGGGTCTCCACGTTGCCCACGATGCCCTCCACCACCGTGGGCGGTGTCTCCACAATGGTTATGGCCCCACAACTTCCTTCTTGTTCACCTTGGATCCTGGCCTGTCCACCTCCCGCACGATGTGGGTCATGCCGGCCTTGTAGCCCAGGAAGGCTGTGAGGTGGACCGGCTTGGAGGAGTCATCCTTGGGAAAGCTCTTCACCTTCCCGCGGTGCCAGGTGCTGCTGGGAGGGGAGAACTTCCTGTGAGACATGCTGCTGCCAACGCTGCCGGTAGACTTAACTTGCATTTTTATATACAACATTGTGTGTGTGTGTGTGTGTGTCTATCTGGAAAAGGAGATGGCAATGAAATGTTGCAATATGATTTCTCCCCAAATAAATTATCAAAACTTCCCTGTGTATCAAACTTATAATATTAAAAACACACTATGTCACATTGTCAGATCCCAGTATGTCTATAACTGAAATGTTCTCTGTGAGCAGGACCAATTATTATTATTCGAAACAAACATAGCTATTTGTCTAATTTTAAAAACACTAATTGGGCTGAAACTGGCTTGGCTCAGTGGATAGAGCGTTGGCCTGCGGACTGAAAGGTCCCGGGTTCAATTCTGGTCAAGGGCATGTACCCTAGTTGCGGGCACATCCCCAGTGGGGGGGTGTGCAGGAGGCAGCTGATTGATGTTTCTCTCTCATCGATATTTCTAACTCTTTATCCCTCTCTCTTCCTCTCTGTAAAAAATCAATAAAATATATTTAAAAAACACTAATTGGGTTTTGATGATTAAATAAAATACATTCAGTGTTCTTTTGTACTTATTTAGAACGTTATTTCTGTTATTATCACTATTATGGAATTGAGACTGTGAGAATACAGAACGTAAGGGCAGGAGAGAACTATGAAAGTGCTTAGTTATATTCACTAAAATATAATGATGAAGACAAAACAAGGAAAGCCACATCATATGCCTTAAATTAGTAATAATGATTATAGTTCTCTACATTCTCATTTTCCATCATTTGTTCACCAACAGCTTTTCAGGACTTCACTCCTTTTTTTTCAAAAAATATATTTTATTGATTTTTTACAGAGAGGAGGAGAGAGGGATAGAGAGCTAGAAACGTCGATGAGAGAGAAACATCAACCAGCTGCTCCTGCACACACCCCACCAGGGATGTGCCCGCAACCGATGTACATTCCCTTGACTGGAATTGAACCTGGGACCTTTCAGTTCTCAGACTGACGCTCTACCACTGAGCCAAACCGGTTTCGGCAAGGGACTTCACTTCTTGAGAATTTCAACCGATCGTTGCAAATGTGTTTTGCTCGGTTGCAGCTAATATACCTATTATAAGGTCTTTGTTTCTTGAGTCTCAAATGCTTAAAGCTCTTCTGTTTTAAGATTCAAAGAGACTATAGCTTTCCATCTCCTGGATTCTGTCCCTAGATTCTGCTCTCTCCCCAGAGGCAGAGTTACCGTAGGATGGATGGCAAAGTGGAAAAGGTTTGGGGAGCATGTTCTGCTCTGCTCCCAGCTCTGCCCAAACCCTCTCTTTAATGCCCAGGGGTGTCCAGTCATAATGCCAGCCCAGCCCAGCCCAGACGTCCTGGTGCTCCTAGCTCCCGCCCTGCACAGCAACCTCAGGGCAGGTCTCACCTGTGCGTTCTGTTCTTTTGTTATTCATGCCAAAGATGCTTTGAACAAATCCTTTTTGATATCCCCTTTCTCCCATGGACCTCTTGTAATCCCCTCCCCCCTCAGGCTGCAACCACCCTATTGTCTGTGTCCATGGACCATGCATATATGCATACAAAAGGATGCTTTTAAAAAAGTTATATTTCTGCCTGTCAGCTGTTTTTCTCCACACTCCCTCCTCCTCCTCCTCCTCCTCCTTCTAGCCTTGAGTAATATTCCTTCATTTTTCTAAACACTGGGTGAGCAGCCAGTCCTGTGAGCTGGGACTGATGTTCTCAGGTCACTAAAGTGACATCTAGAGAGAACTTCACATCCATTAGGACATCACACAGGAGCACTCCGAGTGGGTAAGAGAAACCTGCAGGTTAAGTTTTTTCATCCCCCCCCCCAACTTAATGGAGAAATCTCTGAATCCCACTTTTATTGGAGGAAAGGAATAGGATCTGATGGACAGAAACAGGAAATAAAAAAAAAGCCATGAATCTGAAAGGAAATAAATCAATGAAAAGGACTTTTATATTACTTTTTACCTAAAGAAATGGACTCTGTCCCACACACGGAGGAAATACGGCCAAGAATCATTTTCGGGGTGACTGTGCCCTCTTTAGCTGCCCCCTGCCGGCCCCTCTTTCTGAGGATGCTGCTCCTGGTTGGCCCCCCGCAGACGGCGGGCGCTCCTGGGCCTTCCTGGGGTTGGGCCCCGGGTCCCGCGGGAGCGGGGCACCGGGCTTGGCCAGCACGATCTCGTCCACCGAGGCCAGCTGCAGCACGATGTCCACCACGGTGCGGAGCGCGTGGGCCTTGGCCGCCAGGCAGTCCCACACCTCCTCCTCCGCCACGTCCATGAGGCCCCGGGCCCCCACTCCTACCAGGAAGTGGCCGCGCTGGTGCGCGGTGGTCAGGTCTGCCATCACCGCGGAGACCGCGAGGCCCGCGTTCTCGGCCAGGGTGGCGGGGAGCGAGCGCAGGGCCTGGGCGAAGGCCAGGAGCGCGGGCCCGCGGGGCCCCTCCAGCGCCGCGCCTCTGTCCGCCAGCGCCTTCGCCAGCGCCATCTCGGTGGCGCCGGCGCCGGGCAGCAGCCGCGGGTCCTGGCACAGCTGCGCGTACACGTCGATGCCGTGGTAGACGGCCTGCTCGGCGCCGCGCAGCCCCTCCTTGCTGGCCGCCCGCAGCACCAGCGTGAGCGCGGGCGTGTCGGGGCCGTCCCACTGGAACACGACCGCCGCGCCCTCGCCCTCGCCCAGCGCCTGCGGGAACACGCGCTCGCACCGCCCCAGCGGCCGCGGCGGCAGCAGGTAGGGCATCACGGGCGTGCCCAGCGCCTCGCTCAGGCCCTGCAGGTCGCGCAGCGCCTTCACCTGGACCACCAGGATGCCGCACTGGTCCGCCTGCGCCAGCGTCCTCTCCGCCACCGGCCCGCACACCACCGCCACGTTCACGGCCCCCATGGCCAGCTGCAGCACCTGCTTCTCCGTCACGTAGTCGGTCCCCTTCCGGAAGCGGACGAGCTCCACGGGGCAGGAGATGGTGGCCGTGGCGGGCGCGTTGGGGTCGACGAGGCCGAAGGGGCAGGCGAAGAGCGCCACCCGCGCGCCGCCCACCACGGCGGTGACCTGGCCGCAGGGCCTGCCGGGCACGGCCAGCCCGGGCAGCAGGCACGAGCGGTCCAGCGGCCCGCCCCGCAGCGCGCACACGCCCAGGCGCTCGGGCCGGAAGGTGCCGTCCAGCTCCCGGGCCTCCCAGCACGCCTGCGCCACCAGCCGCGCCAGGCCCCCGGCGTCCGACAGCGTGTGCGTGTTCATGGCCGAGTGCAGCGCCCAGAACGGGTCCTCCAGCGGCCCCAGCGCGCGCACGGCCAGCGCGGGCAGCAGCGCCAGCGCCTCGGCCGTGGCGGCGGCGTAGGCCTCGCGGAGCTGGGCGCGCGGCAGGCCGGCCAGCAGCAGCCGCTCGGCCTGCGCCAGCAGCGCCTCGGCCAGCAGCACCGCGAAGGCCGAGCCGTCGCCGCTGTGCTCGGCGTGGCTGAGCGCCGCGTCCCGCAGGAGCCGGGCGGCGGGGTGCTCCAGCTCCAGGGCGCCCAGGATGGCCGTGGCGTAGCCCGTGAGCACCGTCTCGCCCTTGGCCGTCACCAGGAGCTTCTGCAGGCCGAGCGGGCCGTAGCACGGCCGGATGATCTTGGCCAGGGCGTGCGCCGCCGCCAGGCTCCGGAGGAAGGGCTGCTCGCTGTCGCCCGGGCCGGGCCACAGCCGCTGGGGCAGCTCCCGCACCGAGGCCGCGCCGCCGCCGTCCATGGCCGGGGAGAGGGGCCCCCCGGGGGGTTGGGGCGCTCTACACACAGCAGCGGGGCGCCCCTCGCCGGCCTCTGAAGCTGCTCAGGGAGTCAGCCGGTGTCAGGAGACATCCGCCCTCCTGGCCGGCCGGTGCAGGCGACCTGCTGAGCGCAGGCCTGAAACGGATCTGTCAGGGACTGGCTCCTGAGGCCTCGGAGGGTGGGAGCTGAAAGGGATCTTATCCTGATGACCTCACAGAGTGGCCCGTGGAACCCTGAGCGGGGAATGAGGTCACAGAGGATGGTTGCAGTCCGGAGGGGCTGGGGCTAGGCAGAAGGCAGGCCCGGTGGCCCGGTGATGAGGGACAGGTCTATGCGCCAGGCCCCAGTTTCATTTATCTTTGGAGACAAGAGGAAGGAGTCAGATAGAAATACACACACACACACACACACACACACACACACACTCCGCGCTGTAAGCGTGTGCAGTACCATCTGATAGCAGCCAGGCTGTAACCTGCCTGCCTTTGCCTCCTCCGCCACCTTATCCGTCTGTGCTGTTCCTCCAGTCCTTCAGATGTCTGTTGGTCTGTTTATCTTTCAGGTTGCAGGTGTGTGAGGCCACACAGAGTGTGACAGCTCCTCCCAGTGACAGCGGAGTCACTGATCTGGCAAAGACAGGGCCAGGTCAGGAGGGAAGAAGCCGGCAGCCCATAGACAAATAGACATGGACTCAGAGAGTGACAGGGCCCAGCCGTCCAGGGTGAGGAAGGTAGAAAACCTCAGTGTCTGGAGTTGGGCCTCCCACATCCCTCCACCCTTAGAAGGCACGTTCCTTCCTGCATCCTCACTCCCCACTCCTTCCTTGCCTCATGCAGAGGCTGTTGGAGTAATGATTGCTTCTCTTTCGGTTTAACAAATATTTGCCGAGCACCCACAATGAACAGTGTAATGAGGAGCACAGAGATGACAGGAATATAGAGCCTATCGCGGGAGAGAGATTTCTATCAAAGGAACACAACTTCCCATACCACTTCCCATAGGTGTTAGGCAGAGCACCAGCTGGTGGACATGAATGTGTCTTTATTTGTTTAATATAGTGAGAGGAGGGAGGAAATTTTAGAGAGAAACATTGACCTATTGTTCCACTTATTTATGCATTCATTGGTTGACTCTTTTTAAAAATATATACTTTTATTGATTTCAGATAGGGAGAGGGAGAGATAGAAACTTCAATGATGAGAGAGACTCATTGATTGGCTTCCTCCTGCATGCCCCCTACTGGGGATCAAGTTCATAATCCAAGCATCTGCACTTGACTGGAATTGAACCTGGGACCTTCAGTCCACTGTCCATGCTCTAGCCACTGAAGCAAACCAGCTGGGCTCATTGGTTCTTATATGTGCCCTGACTGAGGATCAAGCCCGAAACCTTGGCATATGGGGACGATGTTCCAACCACCTGGGCCACCTGGCCAGGGCTGAATACTGGAACAGCTATTATGATTAGGGGAAAGATGTTGCTCACTGGTTAGGGTGATTGGTCCTCGCACCGAAGGGTCGCAGGTTGGGTTCTGGGTAAAGAGCACGCATCTGGGTTGCAGGTTCCAATCCAGGCTCAGTGGGGGCACATGTGGGAGACAACCAATCAATGGCATATTGATGTTTTTCTTTCTCATCACCAACTCCCCACCCACTCTCTAAAAAGCAATGGAAAAAATATCCTCAGGTGAGGATTAACAGCAACAAAAAGGGATTAGGGGAAGGACAGAGCAATACCATTCATTTTCATTTGGAAAAACCTTTTTACTTTGTTTAACGGCAGATGTTCGTGGGGAGTGGGAAATAGAACTCTGAAAGGGATAATAACAGTCAGAGTCAGGATAGTATGGCAGACATTGTTTTTTTTTTTTTTTTTTTTAAATCAATCTTTATTGTTCATATTATTACAAAGGTTCCTCATTTCTTACCCCCTCCACCAGGTTCCCACCCCGCCCTCCGTCCCCTCCCCATCCCCCATTGTCCTCATCCATAGGTGCAGTTTATGTTCCTTCTCTTCTTCCCTCCCTTTTCCCAATAGTAAATCCCTTTTCAGATAGTAAATCAGTTACTTAGCATTTTCTCAAATCAATAATACCTCCACATGCCCAATGATACACTTCACACAAAAGACATTTCCCAATAGGTCACCAGCCTCATCCAGGCCCCACCCAAGGCACTCACAGATCAACACCCCAGCCCTAAACTAACTCAACACATCCAGATCTAAGCCTTCATCACTTGATTCAGCAGATCCTCAAGTTCCCACGAAAGTTTCCAGCCATGCCTGAGAAGCAGCCGTGGGGCAGGGGCAGGCAAGGAGCGAGCTCTTCTGGGCCTGGCTGCTCAGGGCCTGGCCTCTGTTGCTCTGGTTCGTTCCACAACCAGCTGCTCCGGGTCTGGTCACTGCCGCTCCCGACCTAGTTTCTCTGGACTTGGCTGCTGCTGCTCCGGGCCTGGCCGCTCCCAGCCTGGCAGCCGCTGCTCCGGGCCTGGCCGCACCCGACCCGCCTGCTCCCCCGGGCCTGGCCGCCCCCAGCCTGGCAGCCGCTGCTCCGGGCCTGGCCGCACCCGACCCGCCTGCTCCCCCGGGCCTGGCCGCTCCCAGCCTGGCAGCCGCTGCTCCGGGCCTGGCCGCACCCGACCCGCGCAGACATTGTTTTAATATTTCCACAGACAAGATGGTAGTGAGAAAGAAAAGGGGGAAAAAAAATCACAGTGAAAGTGAAACATAATTAAGGCTAAAGAGGAGATAATTTTGGAGAAAAACTTTTCCCTTAACTTGCTTTTATAAATATTATAGTTATTCATTATAAAAGTTAAAAAGAAAAGTATAGAGGAAGTACATGGGGATGTGAAGTGCAGTGGGGGGAACATAACCAGTAATGCTATGATAACTATGGTGCTGGTAGGTCCTAGACTCATCGGGGCCGCTTTGTGAATTGTGTCTCACCACATGCTGTACACCTGAAACAAACACAAAATAATATTGAATGCCAACTGCAATTGACAAAAATTTTAAAAAGGAGAAAGAAAAAGAATGTCATTTGGAATCTCAGCCCAGAGATAGTCCTTGTTTATATTTTGATGAATGTGATTACACATAGACACACCCAGACAGCTGTGGACTGACACAGTTTCACAGAAGTGGGTTGTATGATGCATGCTGTATATGCTGCTCTGTAGTCATTTCCCTTCCACATTACCTTGGCTGAGAGAAATGTTTCTAAGTAGGTGTCACGCTGCCTGAGAACTAGGGGCAACTCTTTCTGCAGCAGCAGCTCAGAAACAGCCTCTGCTCCCAGGAGGGCACTCAGAGGGCTCATTGGTGTCATCACTGCCATGGACAACTCTGACAACATGTTGATTTTGAGACGGTGAGAAACCGGCATGATCCTCTCCACCCAGGTGTGAAAGCCAGGCACACTGGAAGAGTGTCACCTAAGAAACGCTGAGGATGGGTGACAGAGATGGCTTCCAGTTTCTTTATAGAAATGTACATTGCAACAACCAACATAGAATGTAGCAAGGTATGCACATTGTTTATAAAGATACAGTTTCTTCTTAAAAAGTAGACACTCTTGTAAAAGATTGTCTTAGATCTTTTCCTTAAGCATGTTTTCCCATTTATTTCACTTATTCCACAGTTATTTATTGAGCGGCTGCTGAGTAATATGTATAAAAGGTGAATAAGACAGACAGCTAATCATAACTCATTACAGGCCGGGAGCCTGGATGAGATAAAGCTCAGGTGCTACAGAAACATGGCAGGGAGGGGAGGGGACCATAACCTTCCCCATTGGAAGAACGGTGGTCTGGAATGGAAGTGAAGCCTAACGTGTGAGCTGAAGGAAAGAAAAAAGAAGAAGAAGGAGGAGGAGGAGGAGAAGGAGGAGGGGGGGGAATTGGGACAAGCTGGCAAAGGGTGTTGTCCACCAAAAGCAGTCCTGAGGTTGCAGCTCATGGTGAGGAGGGAGGGAGGGGCTAGAAGGAGGTACTGGAGGGTGGCAGGGGCTCCCGAGAGCCATGCCAGGAATTTAGATTTCCACCGGAAGGGTGGCCGATGGACTGTGAGTTCCATTTCCATTGGACAAGGGTATGGTTTTCTGCTGTGAAGTCCTCACCTGTTTGAGTACACAGCACAGGGGAGTGACCATTTGGTCGTTATCTCTAACTCTTAAGGAGGGCCAGTGTCATAAAACAGGTCTCAAACTACACATTCTATGCTCAAGTTTTTGACTGATCTTTACACAGATCAAACCAGCCAAGGAACTACTCAATTAAAAAAAAAAAAAAAAAAAAAAAAAAAAATATATATATATATATATATATATATATATATATATATATATATATATTTGGCCGAAACTGGTTTGGCTCAGCAGTAGAGCATCGGTCTATGGACTGAGAGGTCCCAGGTTCGACTCCGGTCAAGGGCATGTACTTTGGTTGCAGGCACATCCCCAGTGGGGGGTGTGCAGGAGGCAGCTGGTCGATGTTTCTCTCTCATTGATGTTTCTAACTCTCTATCCCTCTCCCTTCCTCTCTGTAAAAAATCAATAAAATATATTTAAAAAAATAAAAAAATTTTAAAAATGTATATTTTATTGAGTTTTTACAGAGAGGAAGAGAGAGGGATAGAGAGTTAGAAACATTGATCAGCTGCCTCTTGTACACCTGCAACCAAGGAACACGCCCTTGACCAGACTTGAACCTGAGACTCTTTAGTCCGCAGGTCAACGCTCTATCCACTGAGCCAAACCAGTTTCAGCTCAATCTTGATTTTACTTTTTACTATGTGGACCCAGCCATTGTTAAATTCACTTTGATTTTATTTAACCTTCATATTGATTGGATGTAAAATAAATGTAAACACATTTTTGTGTGTGTGTGCGCGTGTGCCAAGAAGAGTTGGGATGCAGTTAACCCATTTCATACAATTGCCTAACACTTTGATCTGAGATGGGTAGGCATCAATGTAGGG